GGGGGCCCAACGCAATCAGTAGCCCACTTGTGAAAGCAAGCTTTGAGGGCAGCCTCCAAAGGCGCAGTACTCCCTGGGCGGAGTGAGTCCTGCCACACTGGCAGCCGCTGGACTGCCAAGAGCGCACTGTCCATCTCACACTTCTCAGGTTCGCTCAAAGCCTTCAAGAGAGAAGCAAACTCAACTGATGCAGCTTGTTCTGCATAGGCGTATGACCAAAAGCTTCGCAATTGGTCCTGCAGGCCACTGCGTCACTACATATTCGATTCAGTTCAATGCTGCAATTGAAAAGAGCTTAATCGACTCGTATATGAATCAAGAATCTAGAGTCTAGAGAATGTATAAGTATAGACAGACTCTAGAGCCTAGAGTCTAGAGTACATGCATTTTTGGCCCCAAGAGTTCAAAAAAACAACGCAGCCCGCTCCACTTGCCGTCACTTGCCCTACAAAGGCCCTACATTGTCTTTGAGGGGAATGCTTGGCCTGGCAATGTATAACCGCCATGGACAGAACAATCGTCATGAATGATGACTCCCAACAATCCTGCCAGTAGCTGCTTGTGCTTAAAGCTGTGGAGCACAAACCCGGAAGGCTGTGCCCACTTGCTTCACCCAATGTTGTCATCCTCTTGACTGCCTGGGTGTCGTACTCACCTGGGCCAGAAATATTCGCAAAGGTCACAAAGGATCAAGGAATCAGAGGTACTGGCTACTAACTACGTACCGGCACATGGGACGGTATACCTGATAATGTCAGATATTACTAATACTATCAGATCATATGTCATATGCCATATGCGCCTCATATCAGCAATATTGTTGATGTGATTTCAGTTTCCGTATGTGGGTATCGCAGGGTTATGGCTCTTCAGTTCTGCAGTGGCTGCGGCCATGCCCATGTATTATACGCCATACTTATAGACTATGGCTATGATGGCTACTCCGGCTAATGTCTAGAGTCTATGGACTGTTTTTGCACTGGTCCGGCCTGGCAGCCCCGCTCCAGCAATTGCCAATATCGCTGTGACAAGGTCAATGCACTGGGTCCGCCACGAGCTGAAAGCTTTGTGCCCAGACTCATGACCATCGCTGGGATTGTGCGACAAAAGAAATTCAAGAAACTTGACGGAAAAGGTCACCAAAGCATCTCGGCTGTCTCTGCCGCTCTTGATGATGCCCACCATCTTCTCAGCCAAGCATCTATCACTGATCCTCACCAGCTCATCTGGCATTTTTGCCCTCTCAATCAAAAAGCGCACTGCAGGCTGAATGAGGGTCAAGGTCTCAGCGCCATCACTGTGTAACTTCCAGGGCAAAAGCAAGAGAAAGAAGTCAGACCATTTGTTGTCGTCCTGGTTCTGGTCCTGGTCCTTGTCCTTGGCAGCCTCATCAGCAGCTTCAGCAGCTTCGGCAGCTCGGAAGGGACGTGGAGCCTCCCTGGCGAAGCGGTTGATCAGGTTGATGTAGATGTTCTCAGGGATCTTGTCTGCGACTTTCAACGTGTCCGCCGCTTCTTGCACCACTGCAGCATGGACCTGCCATGGCCAAGATTCCGACAGAAAATAAAATCTCTTCAATTTTTGAAAACATGGTATGAATCAACTGTACTGAAACTATAAGGATCTCAGGATAAGCAACAAGGACAGGGACCAGGGGTAGACCGGATGGACCAGATACAGCTAACAACTAGCAACTAGTAACTAGTCACAGATTAGATTATGATTAGTGATTAGCAGGGATAGTAGTGAGTAACCAGTTAGGAAGGTAGGTAGGACCAGGTAGGCAGGCAGGACGGGGAAGAAATTCCAAATCGTTACATGGGCTTGGCTCTTGAGTCTTGACTCTTGACCAGACTAGACTAGACTAGACTCAACATAGTGACATTGTTACCGGCCTTGGTTTCTGAAAAAAAAGTGTCCCGAACACGAACCGCTCCACTTATTCAACCATAGCCATAGTTGCCATAGTTATATTATAGTTATAGTTGATACAAGTTAGCACATTTGCATTCGCCGTATGGTGGAAGTGTCGTACGGTGAAAGTGTGGCCTGGCCTGAATCTGGTCAAGCCCAAGCTTCGCAGCTTCAGTAGGCATCAAGGTGTGGGCAGAAGTGGCTACTCGCAGCTTCGTGTCCAGCTTGCTTGCTTCTTCATGCAACCCTTTTTTCTCTAGACTGGCAAGAGCTCTTTTGCACTGGTACAAATCCATTCGGCTGGTCTGAGCTCCGATAACTTTCAGAATGTCGCACATGTCCAGGTACTTCTTAATATCTGCCCCACTGGCTGCAGCATTGGAGTTACCCTTGGGCTGACGAACCACAGCAGTAAAAGGAGTGGAAGCAGGAGCAGCTCCTGCAGGAGCTGCAGCACCACCAGTTGACTGCTTCGGAGCCTTGCCACGTGGTTTTTTCGAAGGGGCATTGGTGTCCGGTGGTTGAAAGCGCTTGCCAGGCTGCAAGGCTGCAGCTTTGGCTTTGGCTTTTGCTACAGCCGCAATCTCAGTCCCCTCTGTGTCATCTGCAAGACGAGATTTGGTCAGAGCCGCGAGCATCGTGTCATCATCATCGTCCTGGCCAAAGGCCAAGGCAATGACTATGACTATGACTATACTGCTACTTACTTGCTGTTCCTACTACAAAGAAAGAAAGACGCAAGAGTGAAAAAATGCAGCAATAAGAAAAGAAAAAGCAGGGATGCTAGGGCCTAGCAGCTAGGCTATGTCTCTGTCTATGTCTATGTCTATGTAAAACCAGAAGCAAAATATGTGATGTCACGGACCCGGAGTTGGGTGACAAAATCTGGTCCAATTCGACACTTCAATACGACAAGGAGCACACATAGACACATAATAGATAAAGAGAGGTTTCAGACATACTGATGAAATAGATTTTAGTTAGGTAGCCAGCTAGCTGGCAACTAGCTAATGAAAAGTGGTTTGTTACTTATTCTTTAATTCTTGTTCTCAGAAAAGAAGTCCAGAGTAGTCATTTGGTCTTGAGTCTTGATGTCATGCACGGTACGGTCATAGTCATAGACATGGAGTCATGGGCCACCCCATTGCATCAAATTGATCGAACCAAACGGATCCCCTCCTCCTGACCCATCACTTCCAGCTTGAGTTCGGCATCCGTCTTCTCAGTGGTGGCTCTCATCAGTTTATCAAATGCGTCCTCTTGTTGGGAACTCTGCTTCCAGGCTTTGACTTTGGCAGAAAGTTCAGAGAACTGCAATGAACCACCAAACTTTCTGGTCTGATGCATTGACTCTGCCCGCTTCGCCAACAAATGCTTCAGGGCATCCAGGCCCTGGTTCTGTCTCACAGTGTTCTCCCTCTTCAACTGAATGTCCTAGCAGCTAGCAGCTAGCAAAAACCAGCGGCCAGGCACGTCCAGCATTGACGGGCTGGCGGAAATACAAAAATATGTAAAATCTACACAATATGCAAAATCAGGAACAGTCACATACAGCTAGCAGCTGGCAAAACTCACATAAGACATATGGCATATGAAAAATATGACATATGACATGACTATAGTCGCTACAATATACTCGCTAGCCGCTAGCCGCTAGCCGCTAGCCGCTATATTCCGTATCACTCTATTACCAGTAGTACCTATAGGAGAGATTGGTTGTTGTGAATCAGGGATGGCAGAGCGAATCCACTGATGGACCGAAAGGTGCTTGAGGTCTCCTCACTTTCTCTCTCTTTCTCTGACTATCTACCTACCTACCTATCTATCTTCTATGTATCTGTCTATCTATCGATCTATCTCTCTCCCTCTCTCTCTCTCTCTTTCATCTAATTACCTGTCTATCTATCTATCTGTCTATCTATCTTTCTATCTATCTATCTATCTGTCTGTCTATCTGTCTAGCTGACTACCTGTCTGTCTATCTATCTATCTATCTGTCTATCTGTCTACCTGTCTATCTGTGGTGCAGTGTCATTCAGTGTATACTGTAGTGTAGTGTAATGTAGTGAAGTGGAGTGTAGTGGAATGTAGCGTAGTGTAGTGTAATGTAGTGAGTGTAATTTCGTGTAGTGGAGTGTAGTTGTGAACTTCCAAAAGTGGTCCGAACCCCTAGTGAGTGGTGACTAGTGTTTTTAACATTTTGACTTTGGAAATGTGCTTCGCGCCACAACGGCGTGCACTTTTTCGACATCTCAACTGCCAAAAGTGGTCAGCACCTGGTGTGCTTTGTACATTTTGACTTCGAAATGTGCTGCGCGCCACAACGGCGTGCACTTTTTCGACATTGCAACTTCCGAAAGTGGTCCGACAATGGTGTGTTTTGCACATTTGACTTGGAAATGCGCTTCGCGCCACAACGGCGTGCAATTGTTCATCTCTCATCTGGCCAGCTGGCTCCGCACCCGCAGCTTTAGCGAGCCTACTTTTCGACCCTCCGGAGCCACAAAACATTGGAAAAACACAGTGTTTCGCGACTTTTCCTACCTTTTCGCGCATCTGCATCTTCTTTCTTCTGACTCTTTCTCTTCTACGCTTCTCTCTTCTAATCTTTCTCTTCTCTCTGACCCTTTCCATCTCTGCTTTTCATCTGTCCGATGTCCATATTGTCGGAAGTTTGACTTCTAAACTAAACTTCCTTCGACTATATATACTCCACAATATTATATTCATAATATACTATATGATGCTATATTTTACTCTACTTCGCTGCACTTACAGAAGACCTGAGGTTTGATCTGACATATAGGTACCTATAGGCTATCGAATGACAGAAGTCAAAACTTTGTGTGACATGTTTGCATGCTTGCCTCCAGCCGACCGCTAGCCGCTAGCTGCTAGCTGCTAGCTAGCTAGCTACCAGTTGCCAGAGGCCCTGATTGTGCGTTTATTTACTGTCATGATGATAGCTTGTCATGTTGTCACTGCATGTCACTGCTCTAAGTTTCAAATGTGAATGCCACTTTGAATTGACTGTGACTATGACTAGGGCTTGACTTGTGACTTGACTCACTAGCCTTTAATGACTATCAAGAGTCCTTCAACAAAAGCAAGTCTTCAGTGAACTGGACGAACTTGCGGCGAGCACTTCCTTCCAGAATGATGCCAGAAATCGGCTGGTTGAACTCGTCCAGTGTCTCCGTCAGCAAGTCTGGCACGGCCTCTGAAGCTTTGCATTCGTAGAGGGCCTCAAACTCATCCGCGCTCATGAAGTCCGAGATGAGCTCCATTCTAGAACCCGTGATGCGAACGATCTCCACCTCCTGCTCTCGGAAGGCCTTCTGGTCAATGCACTCCTTGTCCTTCATCTGGACCCGAACTGATTGGAACACAAGAAGCCACTGTGGCTGGCTCTTCTTGGCAACGCATTGTTCCCAAGTCATCTCTGGGAACGCAACAAGCACACTGAGCACGCATGGGAGGCATTTTTCCCCCACAGCAATCTTCACCTTTGTCTGCTCGCGGTTGGCACCAAGCATGACCACAGTGCGGTATTTTGCCCAGGTCACCGTCACACCCTGCCAGCGGTGGAGAACACCGGCATGCATGCTGACAAAGACAAAAATGATTCAAATGAATTACACGAGATCCAAATTTCTTGCTTGCTAAGAGCTCGATGGTCGCAACCCGCAACGACAGCTAACTATTTCATTTCCTGCCACATCATGAGAATATCTATACTACCAGATTAGATTATAGATTCTAGGATTCTAGATTCTAGATTCATACCACCATCAAGTCAAGTCTAAGCAGGGCTACTCTGGCATGGTTAGCGGTTAGCGGTTAGCAATAAAACTGCGTAATTCCCTGCAATGGCATGCCGTGCCCTAAAACATCGACAAGCAAAATGACAGGCGACAGACTTAAACTCAAAGGGAACGGTTGTTGTTAAAGTACAATGGCAAAGGGATTACTTGATGCCAATGTCACTGCAAACCTTGCCTTCGCATCCTCCACACTCTTGGCGCCGCACATCTCACACGTGCAAACCGACTCTTTCTGAATCTGCTCCAAAGCCGCAGCAGCCGTCTGCTTCACGGCCACTAAGGCAGTGCTGGCCACACTGGGGGCGGTGGCCTGAGTCTTGTCAATTTCCGGTGCATCGCAACTCTTGTGTTTCTTCTCCTTCTTGTCTTTCCTGTCCTTCTTGTGTTTTTTTTCTCTTTCCTCTCTTCAGACATGGATCTTTTCTTGCTCCCAGGATTCTCACCTTCCCCTTCGGACAGGCCAGCAAAAAGGTCGTCTTGGTCGAGCTGTCTGGAAAGAGACTGGTCCAGCTGCTCTGGCTGTGGCTGCTTGGGCACGGTGTCAAGATCTTTCTCATTCTCTTCATCACTAGACAACAAGCTCTGCACTCCACCAAAGGACTTGCTTTCGGAAGGCACTGGGCTCGGGGAACCCAAAAGATCCCGCCGCATATCTTCATCCGATAGCGATAGCAGAGCACCGATGCTGTCGCATGGCTCCTTTGGAGGAGCCGTTGCATCAGGACCTGCGCCCTCCTCCATCGTGGAAGCGCAAGGGACAGGGAAAGATTCGACACAGAAACTGAAGTCTCAAATTTCTGCCGCTGGGGAATCCTTAAGCCCTAAGCCGAGGGGCCGAGTCGAAGCTCAGACTGTTGGACACTGATCAACAAGCTAACAAGGCAACTAAGTAAATGCCCATTCTGCCTACATACAACAAGGTCGCACGACTAGGTCGTCACTACTAGGTCAAGCCGCTCCACCTCTTCAGTCTGTTCGGTTACAGTTGTTTAGTTACTTGGGTTTTTTGATTCTTGAAATGAATAGTCTGGTATGTTGAAGCTGCAACTGGGGTTGTGGCTCTCTGTTCGCTCCTTGGCCTGGCTGTGGAACTCTGGCTCTAACATGTCAGTTTGTCGAATACAAAGAAACTCTTATTCAAAGACATGGATGTTTCCTGGCCACGAAAAAAATCCTAAAAAACTTGTTTTGTTGTCTGTCTGGAGTCTGGCCGCTGGCCCATGCCGTCCGCATGATAATGTGTAATGTGTCCCTTCTGCGTCTCCTTCAAGAACCGGGTTCACTTTTTTTCATCATCAAAATTCGCACTCTCAGTGATTCTCTCAAAGTGCTGCAATGGCGGATGGCGCTAGTCAGTCTGAGTCTAATCGTAACCTAACGAGCAAGCATCACTGCCCATCCAGCCCAAGCATTGCCTATCCAACCCTCCATGTCCTAGGAAAATTTCGGAGTTCACCGTTTTCTGTTGGTTTTTTTTGCGAAGCTGCAAGTTACCTTGGTTGCTACACACTCACTATGGCTGCTACATAGTTGGATACAAAACAAGTCAAACGATTTCTGCTGGATAAAGTCTATGGAGTCTATGGCCATGAGTCCATGGGATACAGGCTTTGAAAGACCTGGGACCTGGGTGCAGGCCTGACCGTCATCAACCTGCAAAACTGCGTTCCTACTGTCTACTCAGTCTACTCAACCTCTACTCTCAAAACTGCACGCCGCACAGTGTGGCCCCATGAAGGATATATATATATATATAAGGCCTGGGCCTACGCCTATCCGGTCCTTTCTCAGAATCTGAGACATAGTGACATAGTGACATAGGGTTCATGCTTTACCATTTGACCTGTTGACTAAAGTAAATAAACTGAACATATTGCACAAAAGAAAACACCAAGAATTGGCCACACCATTGGCTAACGGCTAAAGGCCTTCTGCGACCTTGGAAGTTCTCACGCGGGCTAGCGGCTAGGCAGCTAACTGACCAGGCTTGGGACTTGGTGACTTGGGGTTGGAGTCCAATCTGTACACTGTAGGGATTAAGATTGACACCCCTTTGCTGCAGCCACCAATGGAAACAACGATGTTCAGCCAGCTCTGTTGTTTTCAGGAGGGCGTACTAACTAAATCAGCAATATCACTAAACTTTACTTCGAATTGAATATCACTATCAGAACCAACGCTTATATTTATAGTATATGTCATATAGAATATAGATCACTTAGCCTTATTATGAGCCAAAAAGTGTCTGATTGTGGAGTGGCTGAGCATCCAGTGCCTGGCGGTCCGGCGGATCTCACTCACTGCTGTATTTCGTCAACATTTTCAGCGGTATGCTCTGGCAGTGGAACGTAAGAGCAAACATCCGATAGAGCCCCTGTCTCGATAGCGGCTGTGATCAAAGACATGCAAGCGACTCCCACGCTGGGCACACTCATGGCTTGCCCTACAAACTCTCCTGTCTCTGCGGGTGTCAAGCCAGCATCTTGGAGCCCAATCTTTGCAAGGCGTCCGAAGCCAAGAACACGAAGACATTCTTCGGGCAAAATGAGACGGTCCAGCTTGAAATGATACACTTGAGATGCTGTGGTCAGGGTACGGAAACTTCCCCATGGTCTCCGACCAATGTTCTGCGAAAGGTCTGCAAACAGACCCTTCACAACATCGTCTTTCTGATGTGGCAAGTCTTGCATCTTGAGCCCTTCCTTTGTCATGAGGTATGCGAGGTCAACCATCTCTTTGATCCTGGGGTTGACAGCCACGCCTGTCATCCTGGCAACAGTTGACCAAGGTTTGGCTGTTTGCAGCGGTGCGGACAGCTGCTGACGTAGAGCCTCTGCTTGCATCATCCACTTCTTCGGTGGCCCGTCAGTGTTGGCATTGGCAGTGCTGCTTTTCCTGAGTACCTGCTTGGCCGGTGTCGTATGTTAAAGTTATTCAAAGATTATGGTAGTATGGTAGTATGGCATCCCTCTCTCTCTGTATATATATATATATATATTCATAGGGTCATAGATTTGAATATCTTGCAGATGAAAGTATATACATATAAATGCGACAGCTCTCTTTTAGGAAAAGAAACCTTTGGATATTAATATCTGCAATGGTATATATATATATTATATATATATAATAAAACATAATATATATATATATATTATATTGTATCATATCACAAAAAAAAATAAAATTTAGCATTCAAACAAAACCTTTTTTGATAAAGTCTCAAACTCAAGACTCAAGACTCAAGACAGGACCAAAAGTTTGATTCGATTTTGATAAAGAAATCGCATGGAGAGGCATGAGAAGAAAAAAATATAGACAAGACGATCCAAATCCTGCAGTTTGGAATGTTACTGTTTAGAGCTATGACTACAGGTTGCGGAAAACTAAAGCCTCCAAGTTTAAAGGGCGCTCACTGCACGCTCCACTCTGTAAGGGCCTAAGGCCTAAGGGTTTAGGGTTAAGTTAAGGGTTTTAACTTTGGGATATAACTTAAGCCTCCAACTTGCAAGGGTCTTCACTGCACGCTCCACCCTGTACGGGCCTGAGGGTTTAGCCTTTTGAGTTTGGGAAGCTTAAGCCTCCAAGTTTTAAGTTGCCTGCCTCACTGCATACTCCACTCTGTGAGGGCCTAAGGGTTAAGGGTTTAGAGCTGCGGGTTTAAGGTTCTAAGTTTTGGATGACTTAAGTCTCTAAGTTTTAAGTGTCCTTGCTGCACGCTCCACCTTGTAAGGGCCTAAGGGTTTAGGGTTTAGGGTTTTAGGGGTTAGGGTTATGGTTTAAGATTTAGGGTTTAGGATTTTAAGTTTGGGACAACTTAAGTCTCTAAGTTTTAAGTGTCCTCGCTGCACGCTCCACCTTGTAAGGGCCTAAGGGTTTAGGGTTTAGGGTTTTAGGGTTTAGGGTATGGTTCAAGATTTAGGGTTTTGGATGTTAAGTTTCGGATAACTTAAGTCTCTAAGTTTTAAGCGCCCTCGCTGCACGCTCCACCTTGTAAGGGCCTAAGGGTTTAGGGTTTAGGGTTTTTAGGGTTTAGGGTGTGGTTCAAGATTTAGGGTTTAGGATTTTAAGTTTCGGATAACTTAAGTCTCTAAGTTTTAACTGTCCTTGCTGCACGCTCCACCTTGTAAGGGCCTAAGGGTTTAGGGTTTAGGGTTTTAGGGTTTAGGGTATGGTTTAAGATTTAGGGTTTAGGATTTTAAGTTTCCGACAACTTAAGTCTCTAAAGTTTAAGTGTCCTCGCTGCACGCTCCACCTTGTAAGGGCCTAAGGGTTTAGGGTTTAGGGTTTTAGGGTTTAGGGTATGGTTCAAGATTTAGGGTTTATAGTTGTAAGTTTCGGATAACTTAAGTCTCTAAGTTTTAAGTGTCCCCGCTGCACGCTCCACCTTGTAAGGGCCTAAGGTTTTATGGTTTAGGGTATGGTTTAAGATTTAGGGTTTAGGATTTTAAGTTTTGGACAACTTAAGTCTCTAAGTTTTAAGTGTCCTCGCTGCACGCTCCACCTTGTAAGGGCCTAAGGGTTTAGGGTTTTAGGGTTTAGGGTATGGTTTAAGATTTAGGGTTTAGGATTTTAAGTTTCCGACAACTTAAGTCTCTAAAGTTTAAGTGTCCTCGCTGCACGCTCCACCTTGTAAGGGCCTAAGGGTTTAGGGTTTAGGGTTTTAGGGTTTAGGGTATGGTTCAAGATTTAGGGTTTATAGTTGTAAGTTTCGGATAACTTAAGTCTCTAAGTTTTAAGTGTCCCCGCTGCACGCTCCACCTTGTAAGGGCCTAAGGTTTTATGGTTTAGGGTATGGTTTAAGATTTAGGGTTTAGGATTTTAAGTTTTGGACAACTTAAGTCTCTAAGTTTTAAGTGTCCTCGCTGCACGCTCCACCTTGTAAGGGCCTAGGGGTTTAGGGTTTAGGGTTTTAGGGTTTAGGGTATGGTTCAAGATTTAGGGTTTTGGATGTTAAGTTTCGGACAACTTAAGTCTCTAAGTTTTAAGTGTCTTCACTGCATGCTCCACTCTGTAAGGGCCTGGTGGCTTAGGGCCTAGGGCCTAGGGTTTAGGTTCTTAAGTTTGGGATAACTTAAGCCTCCAAGTTTCGAATGCACTCATTGCACACTCCACCCTGTAAGGGCCTGAGGTTTTAGGGCCTTTTGGGTTTTAGGGCTCAAAGTTTTGGATAACTTAAGCGTCCAAGTTTTGAGATTATAAGGGTCCTCACTGCACGCTCCGCCCTGCCCCCCCCCCTATTGCAAGGGCCTAAGGGTTTAAGGTTTAGTTTAGGGGTCCTGTTTTCGGACAACTGAAACCTCAAAAGTTCTAAGATTCTAAGGGTCTTACTGCACACTCTAGCACTCTAGCTCTACCTTGCCCCCTGCCCTGTTAAGGCCTAAGGCTGAGGGTTTCCTCACTGCTCTCTCCACCCTTTTTCCGGTAAGACTGTAAGAGCCCAAGGGTTTAGGGCAGGCTAAGGTTGAGTCCAGTCCTGCTACACTACGACCTGGCCCCGAGGCTGAAGGTAGATGAATTCTAGGCGAACTCGTGGTCATTTCTTTTTCCTTGGTTGTTCGATGTGTGGTTGCCATCGACTTTTGGTTGAATTTGTGATCACTTAAATTCAACAAAAGTTGGACCAAACATCAAAAAATCAACTTTTTGGCAACTTTTGTACTACCAAAGTTCAACAAAAGTTCAACAAAAGTTCAACCTAAGTTCACCAACCCATAGTGCCATGCCACAGTGTCACCGAA